AAAGGCACCCGCCACAACGCCCAGCTATTTTTTTGTTGCAGTTTGGCTGGGGCTGAGTTTGAACCCACCACCCTCGGTATATGGGGCTGGCACCCTACCCACTGAGCCACAGGTGCTGCCCCTAATTTTCTATTTTTAATAGAGACTTTTGCTTAGTCTGGTCTCTTAGTCTGATCTCTTAACTCCTGACCTCAAGCAATCCTTCTGTCTCAGCCTCCCAGAGTGCTAGCATTACAAGTGTGAGCCACCACACCGGCTGATTTGAGATCCTATTACAGCTTTAATATTCCTTCCCCTTTGCCGTTTATAATCTAATCACAGGAGTGATACCCCATCACATTCATCACCCTGCCCATACTCAAGGAAAGACGATTATCTAGGCTGTACAGGGGGCTGGGGGCTTTGGGGGCTGTCTTAAACTGTTGCCTACCACACATGCTCCATGCTATCCTCCCATCCTTCCTCCAATGGGCCCTGAAAGTGTCTTTCTAGAGCACAGGGCTTCCCCTGACCCTTCCTGGCCTCGTATTCCTTAGCGTGGCCCACAGAGTCATCAGTAGCTAGGTCCTGCCTTTGCCAGGAGCCTCATCTCTTACTACCCACGCCCTCACCTATACCCTAACCACAGTAGGGTGTTCACCCTTCCCCAGACATAGTGGCTGTTGGGTAGGACGCCATGCCTGGCTTTTTCTGCCTAGTGAATGGTGTCCTTCCGGGGCCTCGGATCCCGTGACTGTGCTGCTGCTGGTGTTTCCAGGCAGATTACACTCCTTCTGTTAAAGTGCTGAGCATGTTATTTCACTGGTGCTTGTCCACACAGCTGTACGGCTATCTCGCCTCCTGGCCTGCTCAGTGCATAGTAGAGTGCATGGCATTCAGCGGGTGTCCAGTGTGCCCCACTTATTGGGTGACCTGCCACTGTATCTCAGAGGTCCAGTTCCTGTTCAGGTCGTGGGGAGAGCACAGGATTGACGGTGCACCTTCACTCTGTGTGCAGACGCCCCATCCATGCTTAGGCTGGTGGTGCCAAGCTCCATCCCATGTGCTCATTCCCGTTTATGGGATTTATGGGAGCAGGCACCTTGAGCTCTCTCAGAGTCGTCCATATCTGAGCCTCTTGATACTGTATGGCCCTCGTTTGTCTCAAAAGTCTGGGACCTTCAGTATGACCCTTCCTTCCCACAGGATGTGCCCTGACTTGATCCCACATCCTTGAGACATCCCTTCTGTCATCAAGAATGTGATTAGAGCTGACTCTCTGGGATGGAGCTGGCCCTCAGTTTCCTCACCTGGCAGAGCAGAAGGAGCATTGTCTTGAGGCTCAGGAGACCTTTGTCTCTGCTGCACCTGTCCCACTGACTGGCAGAGGTCCCGGCAGGCCACTTGTCAGTTTCTGCATCTCTAAGATGAGTGGCCTGTGATGTCTCTTCCAGCTCCAGAGAGCTGTGTCTTGAGGTGGCACTTTAACCCCTGATGACCTTTGGTCTATGATTTGAGAGGGATGATTGGACTTATTACCCGTGGGCAATGGAGGCTCCTCTTAGGGTTTGTGAGGACTGAGCCCTGGTCTCCCCTAGAGCTGCCTGCACTAACCCCCTGGCTTGTTCCAGAAAGCGTCAAAACTGCAAGGGATCTC